GTTTCCGAAGCGAGAACGACGTCTGGGCCCGCGATTTGCAATGCTTGGGGTTCCTAACACAACGAGGGGCTCTTGTGTCGGTCAGGAGCCACAGTGCCTAACGAGGGTCCTGTGACAGCAAGCGGTCCCGAGTAGGGGATGCATTTAACAGAGCCTGAAGATGGACCGTGGGGTCTCTCAAGACCAACTACCAAGGCCCGATTGGAAGGCTTAAGGGTCCGAGGGTCTGATTGCATATCACATCAAGAAGGTCCAAGGTCCAAGGGGCCGTGATCTCAACTGTCAATAAGAGGACCCCCAACGAAAGGGACCCCTGAGGCAAGCGGGACACAACTTTCGGCCCATTTCAACGGTCATGTCGCGTCAATAACGACCATTGACCTTAGCAAACCTTTGACAGCATTGATCACGACGTCCTCCTCAGCAAGCTGGAATGGCGCGAGGTGTCCTCGGAATGATTCCAGGACCACCTGAGCGGTCGGAAGTAGGTGATCAGTGGTGACTCGGTTACCTTATCTCTATCCCACGGGTTGGCCCAGCGATCCCTTTTCGGCCTAATCCTGCCTTTCTTCATCAAAGACCTATCCAGCTTCCTACCCCACGGCCGCCTACTACCCTAGGTCGATGACACCCAACTCGCCGACTCCGCTACTCCGATGTTGTCGGTCTGTCCAACCGGAAAGCCCGTGTCGAGAAGTCAATTCAGTAACTTCAAAACTGGTTTCAGCCCTAAAATGAACCCCGAAATGTCCTCCGCAGCTGTCCCACCTCACCCGTTGTGGGGGCGCTCGGCTGACGCAGCGTTGCGGATTTCGTGCACCGCCGGGACCGGGACTGCCTGTATGTACGCACCGCCGGGACCGGGACTGCCTGTATGTACGCACCGCCGGGACCGGGACTGCCTGTATGTACGCACAGCCGGGACCGGGACTGCCTGTATGTACGCACCGCCGGGACCGGGACTGCCTGTATGTACGCAGAGCACTGCGCGTCCCTGAATCTCTCAGTGCACCGCGTGATCTATTCGTAACGCGCGCCAGCCTTCACAGCGCCGATCTCTATTTCGGGCAGTGCCGGCTCGCTACATCCGCCACGCGTCCGGCTGAGCGCCACCCAGCAACGCTTTCCGTGCCGCGCCGCCGCCGCGTGCAGCCGGCTGCCTGCAATGGCCATCTGCACCCCCTCGCGCCAGGCATTCTTGACTGCTTGAAATCGCTGACCCATTGACTGAAGCTGTGTATCAGACAATGAGTCAGCGATTTAAAGCAGTCAAGAATGCCTGGCACGAGGGGGCGCAAACGGCCGCCGCAGGCAGCTGGTTCCTCTATGCGTACGTGTGCATCTCTGTACTGTGTGTGGGTTCTTTTTCCTTACACTAGGCGCAGAACAACCACCACGTGGATGCGACTGAAATGAAGTAACTGTAACTGTAACTCACACATCGCACCATTCCAGCTTGCTGAGGAGGGTACCGTGATCAAGACTGTCAAAGGGTCTGCTAAGGTCAGTGGTCGTTATCGACGCGACATGGGCGTTGTCGACAGCCCTTGCCAGCCACCCGACAGCGTTTATCAAGACGTCCGTTGAGTGACGTGGACGGTAAGCATATTGTGATGGTGTTAGTACATGACTGTCAAGAAGGTAAAAAGTGAGCTGCGAGCAGACGCCCTTCTCCGTAATTTCTGACAGTACAGAGAGAATAGAAATGGACCGAAAGTTGTTTAGGTCTCGTCGATCGCCCGACTTGAACACCGGGGTGACGCACGTGGTCTTCCAGACGGACGGAAAGGTGCGTGAAAGATAGAAAAGTTGATCAGATGTAGAAGATGAGCTCCGATTGCAGAAAAACACTTTTTCACTGCATAAAGTGATACGCCATCGACACCGACAGCCCTCGATGCGCCCATCTTCCTGATGGCTGCAGAAGGCCCCGGTAGGGTGGCTGGATGCAGGGAGAGCGCCGAGACACAAACACGGTACGGGGACAGCGCGACCGGGGGCCCACCCGTATTACCACGCAGCGCCGCCGCCTCCGCAGCGATGCGGGGGCCAACGGCAGCGAAGTGGGCATTGAGTACGTCTGCCCGGGTGCCCATGTCGTGATCGGGTGTGTCGCGCCCTCTCGTTGGCTGCAGTCCGAACTGCTTGATGCGGCTCCAGAAGTCTCGCCGCCCTGTCAACAGACTGCTGCACGGGTAGGAGCGTCGTGCGAGAGTGATCCGTCCCTCCATTCTGTTACGGCACCGCTAGCATACGCGGCGCGCCTCTGTGGTGCGGTAGCGCTCCCAGACCTCGCGGGCGCAGTCACGCTCCTGCGTAGCTGCGAAGACTTCGGTATCTCCACGTAGCCATGGGCAGCCGGACCTGCGTGCTGTTGCGGTGCTGGTCAGGCAGTGAGCGTCGACCGTAGCCATGGGCGGCCGGACCTGCATGCTGTTACGGTGCTGGTCAGCCAGTGAGCGTCGACCGCAGCCATGGGCAGCCGGACCTGCGTGCTGTTACGGTGCTGGTCAGGCAGTGAGCGTCGACCGCAGCCATGGGCGGCCGGACCTGCGTGCTGTTACGGTGCTGGTCAGGCAGTGAGCGTCGACCGCAGCCATGGGCAGCCGGACCTGCGTGCTGTTACGGTGCTGGTCAGGCAGTGAGCGTCGACCGCAGCCATGGGCAGCCGGACCTGCGTGCTGTTACGGTGCTGGTCAGGCAGTGAGCGTCGACTGTAGCCATGGGCGGCCGGACCTGCGTGCTGTTACGGTGCTGGTCAGGCAGCGAGCGTCGACCGTAGCCATGGGCGGCCGGACCTGCGTGCTGTTACGGTGCTGGTCAGGCAGTGAGCGTCGACCGCAGCCATGGGCAGCCGGACCTGCGTGCTGTTACGGTGCTGGTCAGGCAGTGAGCGTCGACCGCAGCCATGGGCGGCCGGACCTGCGTGCTGTTACGGTGCCGGTCAGCCAGTGAGCGTCGACCGCGACGTTCTGCACTTCCACAAACGCGACTACCGTCAGCGGCGGCGCCAGCGGCGTAGAGCGGCCCCAATCGGCAAGCAGCAGACTCAGGCTGAACTCGCCCCAGTCGGCGCGTTTCCATGGTCAAACGGTGGTAGTGCCTGATCGCCGGCGATCTCTGAGGACGGGGCCGCGCAGTAGCACAGGCGGGGTGGCTCGCCACAGGCTCGGGGAGAACCTCAGCTGAGTCCCGGAGACCGGTCCCGTTGGTGACGATCAGGTCTAGCAGTGTTGGTGTCGGTCGGAGGTGGGTGGGCTTGACGACCAGCTGTTCAACTCATGTCTCTCATGATGATCTGAAAACCGCGTACACCGTGGCCGTTTGAGTTGTGAAGATCTATGTTGCAGTCTCCTAGTGCGAATACGGTTTTCCTGTGGCGACGGAAAACCGTTGCCACGGAAATGCTCTTAAATCTGTTGGGCGGGGGGGGGGGGGGGGAGCGGGACTGAGCCAAAAAGTTGGCCTAACATACCCTTAAACATTGATTTCCTTCCGGATCTCAGCCACTTAAATCGACATCCTTGATGACGAAATTCAAATAAAGAACATATTTGGACGGTTCCAAAATTGTGTGATGTTGAGGAATGCATTTCTCTGAGGCCAATGTGATAGTGATAATGATGATAGTATGATCATATAGCTAGTGATATGTTTAGAACATAGTCAGAGGCGCGGTAACTATCGTAACATGGGGTGGGGTGTGGGGGGGGGGGGCAACTAAAAGTGCAGAAGAGGCCTTCTAAGATTAGATAGTGGGCCCCCTATGAGCCCGAATGGGCCCTCTACATGCCTAAATGGGCCCTATGCAAGCTGTAATTCGCGCTCTCCAGGCCATAATGGGCCCTTCAGTCAATGAGGGACCCTCTCAAGGTCAGAATGGGTCCTCTACAGGCCATAATGGTTCCTTCATAGTCACTTATGGGTTCTCTACAGGTCAAAATGGTTCATCATACGGGCCAGACTAAATCCTCTGCATACCATAGGTCTTACACAGTCAATAACGGGCACTCCGCGGTCAATAATGGGCCCTCCAGTCAACTTTGGGCCCTCCGTATGTCAAAATGGGCCTCTACGGGTCAGAATGGGACCTGTACGGGATAGAATGAGACATCTATGGGCAAGAATGGGCCCTCTTGTTAGGTCAGAATGGGCTCTTCATGGTTCAGCATGGGCCCTCTGCAGGCTTTAATGGGCCTCTCTATGGGTCAGTATGGGCCTTTATAGTCGACAATATGCCCTCTACGTCAGAGTGGGCCTCCTACAGGCCAGAGCGGGTCCGCCGCAAGCCGAAATAATCCCTCTACAGGCAAAAATTGGCCCTCCAGTCAATAATAGATGCTCATCAGGTCAGAATAAGTCCTCTACCAATCAGAATGGACCTTCTAAAGGCCATAACTGGTCCTCTAAAGGTAAGAATGGAGCATCTACAGGCTCAGAATTACCCTTATTTGGTCATGCATCTAAAAAGGTAAAAAATGAGCCCTTGACGGGTCAGAATGGACTTTTACAGACTTACGTAACCCCTTTTAACCTGTCCCTGTGGTGTTTTGCCCTGTCCACTCCCGTCATGCCCTAGCTCCTGTTATGTCCGTGTCCTGTCGCCTCATGTCCTCCATGCCATGTCGTCTACCATGCCATACCATGCCCAGTGACCGCGAAACCTTTCTGGAGAAAGAGGAACAAACGTGATGCGTGCCCCGCTTCCGTATGACGTCACATCGTTGAGGCTAAATGCCGTTGAGAGGACGTTGCTCAGCTGACCTGCCTCGTACGCTTGCCACTGCACCCTCACCTTCACCTTTCCACTGCACCTTCACGAACTCCCTGTCGGCGGTTTTCCGCCCGCGCGCGGAAAGCACCACCGCTGCTAGCCGTGGTGTCGCTTTCCTCGAGCGGCGGGCGGATAGGTGGCGCTGCGGTCGACTGTCGAGGCTCTCCGCCGGCTGACGGCGCGCGTCGCCCGCCGGCTCAGTGACCGCGCACACTCCGAGGAGGGTGCACCGCGTTGTGATGCGCCGGGCAAAGCTGACACTGACTGATTCGGTGGACGTGTGGCGCCTCCGAGGCCCAAATCAGGTACGTTGACTGGTGCAAAAGGGCCCATATAGGACGGATGTGGAAGGAGAGAGGCTTTGCCACATGAAACGGCGGATTCAAGTTGTGTCGCGTATGCAGTTGCCATTTGAGCCACGCACTTTGTTTAGCCGCATTATACCTCATAGCCGTGCGTACTAACCTAACAGCGATGGTCGTGTAGATTTATCAAAGTCTATTGACACTTCCCACCTAAAACAACTGCCGAGAGCGCCACGCGTGCGGACACGGCGTCAGTACGGCAGCAGCTGGACTACCCCAGCTTATTGTTTGGGCACCAATTCGGCAGACCCCCACCCCCGCGTGCTTCAAGGCGTCAACAACAGCAGAAACTTGTATCATTTACGCTGAACCAGTTCTCTGAACAGGCCTGTTTCAGCGCCTGGACATGTCCCACCCGAGCATGGCGCATTAGTAGCAGAATCCGTGTGTGACGTCCGCATGACATCAGCCACACTGTCCGCTCGCGACGGAGTACCGGCAGTGACGCCCGTTCTGTGACCATTCGCAGGCGGGTCCTGGCGTGACCAGCATGCGACAGGAGGCGGCGGAGCGTGCGCGGCCGGCGCGGCCCGTCTCGCTCTCCTCAGCTTCCTCCTCCGACTCCGGCGTGCGCGCCGACCTGAGCGACGCGTCGAGCACCGCGCGCCGCCGCCGCCTGCGCGCCGCGCTGGGCGACTCAGGCTGCCCGGGCCAGGAGCCGGCCTGGGAGGACGACGACTGGGACTCGGCCAGCGACGCGTCCGGCGAGTATGAGCCGCTGCGCGCGCCCACCGGCAGCCAGACGCTGCCGCCGGCGCCACCACCGCCGCCGCCACGTTCGGTGCCCGGCGGCCGGCGCAAGGACCTGGCGCGCCACTTGGGCTTACCGCACACGCTGGGCGGCAGCCTGGCTGAGCTACGCGCCGCAGCCACCGCGCACCGCAAGGACCTGGCGCTCTTCCTGGGGCTTGAGGAGCCAGCCACACCGCGTGTACGCATCTGGCGACGCTGGACCAGCCGACGCCCGCGCGAGCGCCAGCGCACCGTCAACGCGTCGCTGCCCGACCTGGCACGGCTAGGGGAGCGGCGGCGGCAGCGGCGCGTGCACACCACCTGCGCCGGTCACGCCCACCGGCCAGCGCGCCACCGGCTCGCCGCGGCCGCTTCGAGCCGCCATTCGCCGCGTGCAGGAACGCGCGCGGCGAGCGGTGACGCGGCCGGCGCGTGGCGGCGAGGTGGCCGGCCTGGACGAAGACGCCCCCCGGCTGGTGTTCCAGGCGAAGCGGGGTAGCTTCGAGGCGCCGTCCATCTTGTTCTCGGGCGAGCGCTGGCCAGCGGAAGCCCCAGAGCGCGTCTCCTGCGCCTTCTCAGCGCCGGCCAGCGCTCCCGCCGGCAGCACGGCACCTGCGAAACCGCGGCTCCCGACCCCGCCGCCGGCGCCCTCTCCGCCGCCAGTCGAGGAGCCGGAGCCGACAGTCGACAGCCAGGCCGCCGACGAGTCGGCGGAGGAGCCGGGCTACATGACCATGGCGGCGATCCGAGCCGTGATACAGGCGCCACCGCCGCTGCCGCCGCCGCCGCCGCCGTCGTCCGCCGGCGCCGAGTCCGGCTACCTGGAGATGGGCGCCATTCGGCGGCTGATGCGGGACCAGCGGGCCAAGACGGCGGCGGCGGCTGCGGCGCGGCCGCGCCTTGCCTCCGACGACTACATGAACCTGGCCGACCTGCGGCACGCGCTGCAGGGCTTGCGGCGGCCAACCGCCACGGCCATCCCGGAACTCGAGTGAGGCCGCCGCGCTGTGATACCCGCCGGAGACGCGAGCTTCTGTTCAAAGAAGAGCCGGAAGCCGCCGGCCACCGTCGTGATAGCGGACGGCATGGGCCGGCGGGCGCCCACCGGGCTGAGTCGGGGTGCGGCGGAACTGCTGATTGTTGGCGTGCCGTCCAGCGTCTGTGTCGCCGGGTATCTCGGGTCAGAGGACGCGCGCGCACCGCCCCAGCCTCCCGCTCCGCCAGCGCGGACGCACTGTGCGGCAGTGACAAGCCGGTGCTGTAAATCGTGTATTAAACCGTCTGTTAGCGGGTGTGACACACAGCCCTCGTTGCTCACTAGATCCTAAGCAGGCCGACAGGTCATCAGCGCCGTCGTCAAATGCCAACCGCGTCAATCGCGTAAAACTAGTCAAAATGTCGCGCGCACCCAATAAGCCCAGATATACATATATCACACCAAACAATGGCCTAGCAACGACTTCGCATCAACGAACCACGCGCGCGACCCCAGGTACACGACGCCAACAACGGCACAGGGGCAGCCAGCGTCGACAACGCTCCACCGTTTGGCACTGCTCACAGCTGCACCCCAGGTGCCGACCGAGAAGGGACCGAGCGACACAGCGCGCGCTGCCGCCCTCCTGCAGCAGAAACGGCAGCGCGCGCGCGTGTGTGGTAGGGGGATGGGGATTCGACGTTGCCCGCTCACGTCTGGAACGGCGCCTGCACCACCCGCTTCGCCTCCTGCTGATGCACGCGTCCGGTGCCGGTGGCCGGCGCGCAGAGCACCTCTCTGCCGCAATACTGCAGCTGCAACAGAGCGGCACCAGCCGGTCACCAGCCAAGCTCACACACGACCGGCACAGCCGGCGGCCGCAGAACGGGCCATGAACGGCGGATTGAGCCTATCACAGGAAAAACCAATACGGTACTAATACTAAAAGTGACCAAAAACGGAACGGATGCTGTCTTCACAAGAGGCAGTTTTACTCGTACGCGCAACGACTGAGGCGGTGTGCCCACAGCGGTGCACGTCGACCCGGCCGCCGCACGCGCCCAGTCGGCACGCGCCTGCTGACCCCGGTGTCCAATCCCAGTCACGGCTGGCAGGCGCCGCGCGCCACTCCAGCGACGCTCTGCACGCCCGTTTCCTAAACACGATCGGGTCGCTTGCACAGCAGTAACCCAAACACGGGGCGGCGCGTCGCCGCGGCGGCCGGCCGAGCGTCGCCGCCACACCAGGAAAGCGGGGCGCCCGGGCCGGTCGGCGCGCCGGGCTGGCGGGCGACGGGGACGCGGCTTCCGACACGTGGCCGCTCCGCGCTCCGCTGACGCCAGCGGTTGTGCCGCCGCTCTCCTGCCGGCTGGACCGGGCCGCCTCCCGGCGCGGCCGACGGCGAGTCACGCTGGCGGCGGTCGGTCCCGGACCGCGATCAGCTCACCTTGGTGGCGGCCAGGTTGTAGAACCTCGGCCGGACGAATGTCCAGGCGCCCTGGTTGCGATGCTCCTCCTGGCTCCATATGAACTCTGCAACACGGGTGTACGGGGCGTGAACGTGGGGTTTGCGGGCGGTGGCTAAGCAGTCCCGGCAGTCGATGGATCATTCCGCAACGCGGGCGTCACGGGCGTCGATAATCGATCCCTGAATCACCGGCGAGCCTGGAGTGCGGCTCATGCGGTTCACCATACCGCGGAGGGACACGGCGCGGCCGTCGCTCAAGGCCATCCCATGCGGCCTTAGTAGCCGCCAGCCCGCCCCAGGCTCGGCCTCATGGTGACTATGGTGCTTGGCACCGTCGGGTCTAGACACAGCGTCGGTGATCGTCACTGACAAGCGTGAAAGGCATGTCACCGTCCATGGGACCATCCACATCCCAACTCTACGCTAAGGGCCTGACAGCGTCCCTGTCCGATAGCAACCTCTGCAGGCACCGCAATACCCAGGTCTCAACCTCACGCTAGCGGGGTCCGCCCCACTCCACCACATGTTCACTACCGGAGCAGGCGACCCTGTCCCAGTACAGCGGCGTCCAGACCAGCTGCCGCTCCGATACCGCTGGAGAGGAGGGAGGTGGAAAATCCTCGGCACGTGACAACAGCCCCAGATCTGGACCGACAGACCAGCATGCGGGCGAACGGTTGGATAAGCACGATGTCATGCGTGACATTTCTCGCAACCTCGCATCTGTCTGACCTTCGGTGAAATCTTCCGGACCACGCCCGGGAGGACCTGGCCGCTCCAGGCCGGTCAGGTGGAGCAGGCTCGCAGCGCTGGCAGATAACGTAACAGTGCCCGGCCGCACAACTGCCACCGGGCTTGAACAAGCTGCGCAGTATTAATCTCCACACATGTTACGCAATATTACGGCACCCGGCCGCGAACGCCGCACTCCAGTCTGTCTTGTCGGATCGCTCACTGTGCGCCAGTGCGCGATCTGACATTCCGGCGCCCCGGACACCGCGTCGCCCTCGGAGGGGAAGCAGCCCGGTCCGCGCTCTGCCCAGGCGTGCGACGCCAGACGTCGCCGAATCGGCCGCAGCCCTACCGCCAGCCGTAGCGTGGCGTGACTGATGATCATCGAGCTCCAGGCATGGACTCCGGCGTCACAAAACGCACAATCTTAACCACCGTCACACACTTGCATTGGGCTCGGCCGATGCTAACACAAGGGAAAGGCAGCGCTCATGCAAAAGCGCGTCAGCATTCAACTCGACGTGAGGCTGGACACAACAAAAAAACGGATTCCACCAGGGGTGTAGTTTTCCTATTGAGTTGTGAGACTTCAGCCTCCCCCACCTAGGGCTTCAGTCCCGAACTTTGGAAAAGTGGGCTAAATCTGGGGAGTAATCTGCTTACTGGGGTATGCTGGATCATTTTTCGCTGTCTAGCCCCCCCCCCCCCCTCCACACACACACACACACACACTCATCTTGTAAAACTAGGCCCCTGGGTTCCAACCTGTCATCGGAGAATCATACGGGATTCGGGGCGAGCCCTGGGTATGTGTGACGAGTCCCAGGGATGAGGGACGAACCCTAGTGATCCGAAACGACCCTCAAGGATCCGGGTTGAGCCCTGTGGATCCGGGGCGAACCCTGCGGATCCGTAACGAACCCTAGGGATCCGGGACAAGCTACTGGGATTCGGTAAGAACACCGGAAATCAGGGACGAACCGAAGAATCTGGGAAGAGTCCTGTGGAATCAGCCTAAGCTCTGGAGCGAATCCAAGAAGAGTCCTCCGGAGCCGCGCACGCGTCCGACTGTAGTCTCACATTATACGCCGTCCGCTACGCACACGCACGCGCAAACAACGGGTCGTGGTAGCGGACCTAACAAAACCCAACCCAACGTGTGTCCAAGTGTTCGGGAATGGCAGCCAGATTGGTTAAGAGACAAAATGATTTCACAAAGAGAAACAAACACTGTCGAGCGCAAGCGATAGCCGCTACCGAAGTGCCCAGCGCAAGCGATAGCCGCTAACGAACTGCCGAGCGCAAGCGATAGCCGCTACCGAACTGCGCGCTGCGTCGCTGCCGATTTCAATCACCATCGCGGTCGACAGCACGGAAGGGCGGGGTACAGTTAGCATGCCATTCGAACAGCGATGATGCCTGATTTCACACAACGAATAAAGCCTGAACTTCAACAATCGCTGCTGACTGAAGACAACAATGGGCACCTACCTGAGCAATAACCGATCGGCACATTGAAAAGGAGCTCGGAGCGAATGAAAAACTTAGAAACGACTAAAGTGGCCTATAAACGACCAAACCCGACCTCAAAACGATTAAAACGACCTAAAAAGGCACCATGTGAAGTGCAGTGAGGTTAGTATCGCGTGATCGCCATTAACATGTCAGACACTGCCGGTGAGTATGCCCAGTATGACACAATGCATCCAGCTGTTCTTAGATGGAGAAGACATTTACAGTTTATGACCATAAAACAATCTCATAACGTGGTTCCCAACAAGTCATCACACAAGCTGCGTTTCTTCCCCGTTTACTAGTTCTGCTGAGAGTAGCGTAACACATCGCCATGTGGAGTTGGTGAGAGGCGCTGCAACACCGGGATGTCACGCCCCACATGCATGCCACGCGCCGGTGGCGGGGCCGGCCGGCGGTGTCGCCGGCGCGGCGACGCGGTACGTCAGCGGACGGTGACGGACGCCTCCGGCCGGCGGCGGCGGCTGGTCAGCCGACGCCGCTGACACAGCCGTGGGGAGGGAGCCGTGGGCGGGCGGGCGGCCAGCCGCTCTGGGTGACGCCGCTCGCGCAGAAGGGTCAAAGGTCGCCCGCCTGACCGCCAAACTGAGCCCTGGCGGACGGCCGTGACGTGACGGACAGGCCGACGTGACGGCCGGGACGCGGCGAGCCGCAGTCTGACGGCTGGCAGGCTCAGTGCGCAATAGGCGGCTATAAAGTCGAGACAATGACTCGAGCGCTCCATAAACTGCTCTTCGTGGGCATTGTGCGGCCTCTGAACGGCGGCTGGTGGGGAGCTCGGAACCGGACGCGGCCGGGCGTCCTAACCTGCCACTGCGCTAGCCTCAGGGCTGAGCGTGCCCCGCCTAAAGCTGGGGACATCAGCCCCAACATGCCCGAGTCCTATTACATCCACCGAGAAAGTAGCCAAGGTCAGCCACTCGACCCAATTTTACCGCACGCTCTTTATCGACCGCTGTAGATCAGTGCTGTTTCAGCAAAAGATAGCCGCATTTTATCAGGGGTGCACCGTTACCCTTGTACAACGATAGCGTGCGCGATATTCGTACATCAATGCTTTTCCTGCAACATTGGCATGAGTCCAGTTAGCACCGGCGAGTAAAATACTGCGTGGTAAGCACGCGACGCAGATTATGGATTTATCTTCTACGACTCCTTCGATGGCATACACCAGTCTAGCCGAGCCCCAACCGTCACCATTATACCTCAACATGCGAGTGATAAACACACACCAGTGGATCGCCGAACCGTCACCGACGTGCCAACTGAAACCTCTGAAGCGTTACCGACGTGACAACTGCAACTCCTGAAGCTTTACCGACGTGCCAACTGAAACCTCTGAAGCGCTACCGACGTGACAACTGCAACTTCTGAAGCGTTACCAACGCGACAACTGCAACTTCTGAAGCTTTACCGATGTCACAACTGAAACTTCTGAAGCTCTATCGACGTGGCAACTGAAACCTCTGAAGCGTTACCGACGTGACTATTGCAACTTCTGAAGCTTTACCGACATGAAAACTGAAACTTCTAAAGCTTTACCGATGTGACAACTGAAACTTCTGAAGCTCTATCGACGTGACAACTGGAACTTCTTAAGCTCTATCGACGTGACAACTGGAACTTCTGAAGCTCTATCGACGTGACAACTGAAACTTCTGAAGCTTTATCGACATGACGACTGAACCTTTTGGAGCTTGATAAAACAAGGCCTAAGTAGCCGACGCGCTTCAAAATACCAATAATAAACTTTGGTCAAAAAGGACGGCGCGGGTGCCACACGACTTCGGTAGTCGGATCGCCCCCCCCCCTCTCGCCGCAAAAAAATCCGGAGGGGCCAGGCCGCCATGCACCAACACCCCATAACAGTGGACACTGCGCGGTACGCCGCCGTGCAGGTGTCCATCCAAAACACGTGACCGAGACCAAGGCGCAACAAACAGGACACCGGGATGGCAGCGCGGGCGCCGCGGCCGACGGCGCCCTTTCCCGTGGCGTCCGTGACGCCGTCGCCCAACTGACAGCACGCGCGGCCGTCCCGGATCCCCAGCTGATGGGAACGGGGGAGGGAGCGGGCGCCGGCTCGCCGGTCAGGCCCACCGGTCCGGCCGGGTTAATGTCAGCCGGTCGCTCTCGCGACGTACTGGCCGCCACCCCAGCCCAGCAGCGCCATCAGCAGGCTTCGACGCCGGCAAAGGTGGCCGGCCGCTGCGGTGTGGCGAACGCCACACCCGTACGGCTTAAAAATATTCAGCTGTTGGGCGACTTCGATGACACAGTAAGAAGCACGCAGGCACGGGCTTGCTGACTAATAGGCGCTGCTGGGGAAAAACAGCCTACGCGCAGAAGGTTGCCGGTGACTCCATTTATGCTAGTCGTTTTTTTTCCTCCAGTAATACCACTTAGGTAGGGTGTCAGCGGCTCCTGATCCTCAACTTGCGGCATCTAAATGAACCCACGGAGAAATATGCGCTGTACGTTATAATGGTAAATGCAAACAAACAGTTTCATGCCATGGCCTCAAAATGGAAGCCTCTGTCAAGCAACCTAGCCATGGGCCGTCCTCGATCGCTGCCGTCGGGCAACCCACAGGAGCACCGGGTGGTGGAGACAATGGGTCCGCCCGCTCACGCAACAGATACCCCGTCATAGGCGCACGCGAGGCGTTCATCGCCGCACACGTGGTGATCGAACCGCCCCTTGGGAGGGTTGCTGTTTGGCCGCTGCGAGCTTCAGCGGGTGGCTGAAACTTCTCCGAACCGGCTCCTCTCCTCCCGTCTTGACTCACGCCCTCCCCCCCCCCCGCGCACTCCTCGGCCTCTCCTCCCGCTCTGGCCCACGCGCCCTCGGCGCCGGTACCCCGGCGCACTCCTCGGCCTCTCCTCCCGCCTTGATTAACGTCCCCTCCGCCGGCATCCCGGCGCACTCCCCGGCCCCTCCTCCCGCCTTGATTAACGTCCCCTTCGCCGGCACCCCGGCGTACTCCCGCACGCTCCGCCGACGCCTCCGATTCGGCCCAAGCGGCACGCTCCCTCGGCGCCGGACCACACTGCCGCCCGGGCGCGGGCCACCAGCGCGGTCCGCGAGCGTCCGAGACGACCGAGCGGCCGTGGGGGCCACGCAGGAGTCTGCCACCCATGCCCGGCGGCGGCGCGATGACACCAAACGGTGACCCAGGGAGGTCACGGGGTACCGCAACGGTAAGCGCACCAGCGAATTAACGGAGGGTCCAAAACGGTGGAGGCGAAAAGGAAGACTTGCAAAACATACAACTTTTAGTTATCTTTTAGATTGTTTGGCGCAGTGCAAATGCAAGGCATATCAATCAGGTAGCCATGATGCAGGCGCTAGCGACGTCGCAATATTGAGTTTTGAAACAAAAAGTCATGTTTTGGAATGTTTCAAAACTCTTAATATTGTAAGGACAATGTTGCAAGGGCAGGGAACAGAGCGAATGACCGACACTTTTTCCATTACTCGCCAGTATTAAAATCATGCCGATGCAAACGAAGCCTTACAAACAGCAGAAATGATTTAGGGGTACGCTTGTCACTGCTCACAGTCGGCCCGGCTGCACTTGTCGCTACTCACTGTTGGCTTGACTGTACGTGTCGCTACTCACTGTCGGTCTGGCTGTACTTGTTACTGTCGGCCCGGCTGTACTTGTCGTTGCTCACAGTCGGCCCGACTGTACTTGTTACTGTCGGCCCGGCTGTACTTGTCGTTACTCACTGTCGGCCCGACTGTACTTGTTACTTACTATCGGCCCGGCTGTACTTGTCGTTACTCACTGTCAGCCTGACTAACTGTACTAGTTACTTACTGTCGGCCCGGCTGTACTTGTCGCGAATGTCGTTCAGCTGTTGCGTCGGAAACGGCGTGAGCTGCTCTAGGCGGACCAGCGCCACGTCCTGCCGGCCGGCCGCCGCCCGCTCCGCCGCCAGCGCGTAGTAGTGCTTGCCCGAGCAGAACACGAGCGTGCGCACTTGGGTCGCGCTCACCTCCGCGTCATCTGCGAACAGAACGGCGTCAGGCGAGCCACCCCCGGGCACAATGCCGCCCGCTGCCGGACAGGCCGGAGCGGCTTTTGCAGATGTCGGGCGGTGAAACAGTGACGGGTAAGTCACCATCATCACATGACAACGAGGAGTAAGAAAAGAGAGACAGCGGTGTTCGGGGAAACGCCTAAGCTGACTTCATGTGTCCACCCTTGCCGGACAGTCACAGCCGATGGAACGGCCAGCACACAGGAAGCATCGCGTTGGTGATCGCTCGCAGGGGGCATCGGGCTGGTGATCGCTCACAGGGAGCATCGGGTTGGTGATCGCTCACAGGGATCATCGGGCTAGTGATCGCTCACAGGGATCATCGGGCTGGTGATCGCTCGCAGGGAGCATCGGGCTGGTAATCGCTCACAGGGAGCATCGGGCTGGTGATCGCTCACAGAGAGCATCGGGCTGGTGATCGCTCACAGGGAGCATCGGGCTAATGATCGCTCACAGCACAGCCGCGGCCATCTGGAGCCGGGTTGGGGCGCCGCACCCACGCCACGCCCGTGACAAGGCGTTGACACATATAGTAATGTCCGACGGCAGTGTCGTGGAATGCAAGACCCGAGTTCAAGGCACGCGGGCGTCAGAGCATTGCAGACCCGGACCAATAATTCGTGCATCGGGTTTCGGTTGATAAACACCGTCATTTTTCGGTGTATAACTGTCGCGTCATTCCGTCTCCGGCACCAATGAACCCGTCTGGCAGAAGCGCGCGACAGTGTCGCTTCTAGGGGAGACCTTTGGGCGGTCTCGATCGCCTCATCAATGACGTCGCAGTAACCATCACGATCCAGCGGACAAGTTCCTGTTGATCGCTGGGAGGTCAACAGAGATTTTACCAGAAAGTATAGTGTGACTAAATTAATGTCCAATCATGAGTGGGCGTCACATGCCCTCGCCTTTGTCGTGCACAATACCAACGACAGTATTCGGGCCAAATAAAAATGCGGCCTAATTCGCCCAAGTAATCCAGGAAAGTGACGATACTTTCTACGATCGCATCCATCAATGACACCCATTTTAAGCCCGACACATCCAAAACCCCACCAACGCCTGAAACACCCGAGGCTGGGCCCACGTCGCCGGTCACCGGTGGCGCCACTCTCTCGTTCATCGGGCAGCACGACAGCAGTCGCCCTCCCCACGCTCCCAACCGCCACCCACCCCCACCCAGTGAGTCGACTTCAGAGGACCACGCTGCCCCCACCTGACCGGAAGCGGGACAGATGCGCCGGGGACATTCCACCGCGATGATTCTGGCTGGCCGGAGGCGGTGGGCGGCGAGCTTCTGGCGGCCGGCCGGCCCTCCGGGCGCCGCCTCTCCCTCCGGCCCCGCCCGGCGCCGCCTCTCCCGCCGGCCCCGCCCGGCGTCGTGTCCCTCCCCCCCCCCCCCCGCCGGCCCGCCGGCATCAGACCGGCTGGTATGTGAGCAGCCGCGGCTCGGCCTCCGGGTCCACTGATGCACGCCGCCACGCAAGCCAACCCTCGGTCACTGAATCACATCTGTGTTTGCGCTATTTACGAGAGGGGCATTCATTTGCTGCTGAATATCTCCTCTTCCTACTTACATTTTTGTCTTCAATAGACTTCATTTCCAAGCGGTCTCACGTTTCGTTTTCATTCTAACTTCAGGAAAAAGTAGACAATCACAACACTAAGTACATCCAACTGAAAGCAAGTAACAGAACAGGGCCAAGAAATGTGCAAAAAGTAGGGGGAGGGGAGGGAGTAGAGTAAACCCAGTATGTGATGGGGGCTCTGCTCCTATGCCCACACAACACAACATCGTACGCAGTCAATGAGTCAATTAACGTTGCCCAAGGGCGATACTGAGCACACAGCATGCATGCCTCACGCGGGATATTCGTCAAGCCCTTGGTCCACCTTCGCGTGAAAAACGAGACACTGGGTTCACGGCGTCTCGGACAAAAGTGTCTGCCCCTTCAGGGCCTTCGGACTACAGCTTCCGGTCCATTCCACACCCAGTGAGGTCATCACAGAGACAGCCCTGCGGGCGTCAGCTGTGGCGCCGCTCGTCTGGCAGCATCAGACCCCCTTCCCCCCCCCCCCACCGGCTGCGCAGTAGCGTCCCGCCGACGTCACGCGCCGCTCCATGGCTGGCGTGACGTCACCTGGCGAGCGGCCGCCAACACCCATGACGGGCCATACTGGGCTGGGGGCGGCAGACGTCGCGCCGTCACCAGCAGCCAGCGCCGCCGGCCGGGCAGCGCGCGGCGCGCTGACCGCCCGCGGCCGGCGCCGGCGGCGGCTCCAACGCACACCCGCACGCCGCTGGCGCGCGCCCCGGCGGCGCTGACGTCAGCATGGCACGTGAGCCACCGGCGCCGATGCGTCGGCGCTGACGAACCGCGGCACGGTGCCGGACAGTGGAGACGAGCGGCCGGCGGACGGGCGGGGCACTACCGCCCCGGCAGGACGGCCGTGCCCTGCGAGGCATCAGCAGCGATCCGATGTGGATCGATTTGGAGATGTGAGCATGACGGAAACATGCTTTTTAAACAATATGCGCACTAGCATATGCCGATGAATCTGAACGTGCATCGCGTTTGTAGTTATACCAACATTCAAGCCCTTGTGGTGGCATGCTCCCCGGCCTCTTCTGAAGACGAACGTGCAAACGTCTTGCAGAATATCCTGCTATGAGCAATGTCATGTGGCTAATCCTACCAAAAATACAGTTTTTACCTACACCCCTTTCACGTTCAACTGTAGTGACACGCACCACATTTACACGACGTGGCCTCTGGTCAAAACTTTCATGGGCAACAAAAAGATATGACTTATGAAGGCGAAGCGCTTACGCGACATTGCTCCGTCACGACACAATTACTACAAACGAGGCTTGCACGCAATGTTAACCCCATTTATATGACAGAAAGGTGCCAGACTCCAGCCAGAGGCCGAACATAGACCGCATTGGTTAACGAGCCGGTATCGTCTTCACCCACACGTCAAATCGTTAGACTCTGCTAAAATTCCGATTTTACATATCAGGGCAATGCAAAGGCCGCGCCAACATCCGACAACGCGCCGTTTAAAAAAAAAAAACTGTGAGGAGCTTCTCCGTTCTGCACGCCCCACTGAGTGTCCCTCGATGCCGTCCTCCGCTGGGCTCGTCTCCGTGTGGGGCCTGTTGCCTTAAACATGCGTGCGGAAATGTCCGTGCGGCTTGCCAGAGGTGCCCGGGTGGGGGGGGGGGGGGGGGGGGGTAGGGCGAGGAGCAGCTGACGAAGACTAGCCGCAAACACAACTGACGCGCAGGGAAATGTTAAGCTCGATAAGCACAAAGCGATTCAACAGCTGTCTCAACAGCACTTATTACATTTTTGCATTGCCTGCTCCACTTTTTCTTGCAGCATTAAGGTAATGTTAAATGGAGTGTTCCAAATTTGTATGGGGTCTTGAGCTGAAGTAGCCATTGAATCGGTGCGGTTTACGGCCCTGTCCCTCTAAAAGGGTATGTTTCACATTAGAAGATACTGAAGCAAGCATCAGATACGATGAAGTAGGCTCATTTACAGCTAATTGCGTACCTTTATGTGGAAAAGACTACTTTGGACAACACAAAATCTCTGGTTAGTAAATATGCTCACCCATACGCCATCATTTGATTGCGTAGTGAAACGTTTGTATGACAGCACTCACTTGTAGTTCTTCAGTCCCCTGAGTGGTGGCCCGAGGCGGTGCTGGATGTGTGCTAAACCAAATATGGTTCAATATTCGTGCTTTAACCATTTCTCGTAGTGTTCTTGCATATTTATCCGTAAGTTTAACGTCTTACTTGCATTCATATACTCATTTCTAGCGCTATTATTAAGTTGTTCAACTACAAGCCCGATTCCTAAATAGCCAATAAAAATGGACAGTTCTTGTATTATGTGGCAAACCGTCATTCGCACCGGAATCTTGTAGGGCTTGCACAACATTGGTTGAGAAATAGTTGACTTCTGTTATATCTGAAAAGCGTTCCCACGAAAACCGGTCCCGGACGACCCGAGTTATATTTTTGTTGACCTTGAGCGCCGTACGGCCAGTGCAATGGCAGGTTTTAAATGATGTTCTTATCGCATCATGAATGTCTGGGGGAACTTCAATAGTCTGCACGAAATAGTCTGCACATGTTCGCGGGAATGTAGCTCTGAAACCCGAGGGTTTTAGGTCTTAAGAAGGGCAGGTCTGGGAAATACACCGAATGATCTTCAAGATGGCTACTGCAATCGAAACCCCCATACAAATGTGGGACACTCCCTTTAAGAAATAAAAACCTCTAGTTTCTGAGCCACCGACCCGCAAGGAAATGCAGACTTTTCCGTGCAGACTATTTCAAGGCCATTCAGGCATGCCTCATGTCACAGCAACATCATTCATATCCTGCCATCCCATAAACCGTGCGGCGTTCCAGGCCAGGAACAAGATCATCGTCGAGCCGCTCAGATCTAGGGTCCGTGAGCACACTTTCCAAACATAGAATACATCAAAGGGCCTTCAATCAATAATGAGGAATCAGTTCAGATTTCAATGACAATGACACGTTTCGTGCTAGCATAAGAAGTTGGACACGGTTGCTAGTTAGTACGGATATAAGACTTGTAATAGAATAACTTGACTAGCGTTACAACCGAGTTTGTGAACACAAGTCAACCTCTTAAACTCACGGACAAATACAAAAGAACATCATGAGAAAGAGCCAAAACACGAACATATAACAGTATTTCGCTCAGCGAACGCTCCCAGGACTGCCACCGCCATCTACTGATGACTTTGAAGCAATACAAGGGAATGCTAGGTTGGCAGCTTCGCACGGTTAGTTTGGCAGCACCTCAACGTCATACGAACGTTCCAAGACACAATCAAACAACGGCATACGAAGGAACAAATTTACTGAAAAGCAAATATTCCGTTGTCTAGATGAGCCTTTTACACTGAAAAGCATACCCAT